GTGTGCTAGATTAGAAGTCTTATTGCCACTGCTCAGTTTTCGGAACTTCTTGATGATTAGAATTCATTGTCTGTCATGATAATCTCTTTCTCTCTCTCTCTAAATTTTAACTCACCAATTTGATTTATCTGTACTTCTGATTATCTGAACAACTCGGATGTCTTGGGCTATTTTGCTAAAGGATAATTGTGTGTGTGTGTACCTTTGCAATATGCATCAATGAATTCACACTTGAATACATAAAATCAATCCAATATTAGACTTTCCAACTCCTTCCCACATCCCTTCCCAGGGACTTGGCTACAACATTTAATCTAGTTCCCTAATTAGAGAAGAAAGAATGTGGGGGATGGGGAGGTCCCTTAATGAAATCCACAAGTGACATCCCTTCTCACTCCAGCAAATCACGTTCTCCCTCCACCTTTTGAAGTCTTCTAAAATCAGTCATGAATGGGACCAGGCCATTTCTGCCACCTTCCGCTCCAGCCACCGGTGACTCAAATGCTGCTTTTGAAGAGGTACCTGCAAAGGAAACAGAAAAAAACAGATCTGAGATAAAGGCAATACCTTGCCTGGAGAAACTGCTGGGTGACCTAAGCTTGTGACTTCCAACTCAGAGGTTCGCCCAAGTGAGCCCCTTTGAAATGGAAGAAGATCGTGTGGAGGCTACTCCATTAATGCAAACAGGTCACTGCCCCACAAACATCAGCCTTGATTCTTCCAAACCTGCCTGCCTTCTTTTGACCAGCCCAGAGGATGGTCTTGCCTGTTTCCTTCTCCTCCTTAGTCTCGTTTTTGCAGGGAGAAGCACGGGGGGAAATGTAGAATTAATTGGTTCTACCTGTCACTGGCTCCATCTCTGTCTATCATTGGTTCTGTTGGCTTCTCTGCCCCAGCATTGTTTTTATGGTGTACAAACACAGTAGAGAATGTCCGTTTAGACTGTGCCCATTACCTGATGCTATAAAACTGGGGTAGCCAGAACGCTACCTTCCAGATGTTGTTGGATTACACGTGAAGTAATGTGGGGTATTACGTTCTGAGGCAGCACACATCTCAGTGAAATTGTGTATATCTGGAGCACAACTGGAAAAGCCCGCAAGCACCCTCTAAACATCTGGAAACCCTTGAAAACCCCTTTAAAAAAATAATAATCAGCACTTACCACGTCCACCAAACTCCATCACATTCGTTCCCCACAAGCCTCCTTGCTCAAAGGTGGCTAGGTTCATAGCAGGGGCAATCAGAATAAGGGCAACTAACTGACGGCTGATTCAGGACTTTAAATTGTGCTCTTATATCAAATTCCCTTCTCTGCGTATATTGTAATGTTTTACTGTTGCTATGGCCATTGGCTAATGCCAATAAAGTTTTATCTTATCTCCTTGCTCAAACTCCAACTCTCCACAGACCTCAAAGGCAGTGGCGTAGGAAGGGGGGTGCAGTGGGTGCGGGTGGCCCCTGGTGTCATCACTGAGGGGGTGACAAAATGGCAAAAATATGTGTTTTTGAAAAATAATAATTCCTGCACCTGCCTCACCCCCCCTCTTCCTACGCCACGGCAGGAGCACTCTCCCTTCAAGTGATTTCCAAAAACCAGAATCATTACTGCCTCCACTTTGCAGTCAGAGCACAGCTTTTATGACTAGCAGCCTTTGACAGCCTTCTCCTCCATAAATCTGCCTAATCCAGAGGCGCAGCTAGGTGAGGTGGGGGGCACTGGGTGCCAGACCGCGGGGCCTGCATCGTGCCTGAGCCACGCGCCTCTCCTGAGGGGGAGGCGGTTGCCGGACTGCCTGCAAGTTCTGCGCTGCTTTTTCGAGCAGCGCGGGGCTTGCGTCTGCCCACCACCTCAGCTGTCCTACAGCTGAGGGGGAGGCTTGGCCCGCCCTGCCCCCACGGGCAGCTTGCCCCGCCCCCCATGGGTGGCTTGCTCCGCCCCCAGTTGCAGGGCACGTGCGTAGCCCCGGGCACCAGAGCGACTAGCTACGCCACTGCTCAAAGGCTGGGGCAAGGGCTCGTAGGATTTCTGTTTTTGCTGTTTCCACAATCTTCCGGGGCTGTCCCCCCCCACCCGAATTTTTATTTATTTATTGATTTTCCAGAATTTTAAACAAACAAACATGTATCTTAACTATACTTAATCCAATCTTAGTAACATTGTTAAATGGCTTCCTCGAATCCCCCTGACTGAGTTTCATTGTATATCTTTGTAACAGTTTCCCAAAACCAATTTTCTCATAAAATTAACTTAGTCACTTAACATCTTTCTTCCATTTCATTTTAACTTTAAACATATTATTCTCTAACATCACATATTTAAATCCTAAGCCTAACTGGTATTTGCAAGTTTTTCCAATTAAGTTATCTTAGCATATTTAACTAAATAGTCTTTGAATTTCATCCAGCCGTTCTGGTACTCCTCCTCCTTCTGGTTGTGGACTCTTCCAGTCAGGTCGGCTAGCTCCGAAAAGTCCATCATCTTCATCTGCCATTCCTTTTGGGGCTGTTTTTGCCCCTTTTCATGCCACTTCTAGGTTCACAGCGATGCACACATGCGCGGTTGTGTGTGCCTTGAATGAGCATGAATGGGGAGTTGCCTGTTCAACTTCCATCAGCCCCAAGCAGCATGGAATCATAGGAGAAGTAGTCCAACAACACCTGAAGGCTGCCATATTGACTAACGCTGCAAAAATGTGTTGTTTACAGGGGAAGGGTCCGGCCTCAGAATTTGTGCCCTGCCAGTGCTCATATTTCCGAAGCAAACAATATTAATAAAGAGAGTGATCCTTTAGTGAGGAGATTTGTTGGGGTGGATTCAGCAGCACCCTTTCCCAACCTTCCAGATATTTTGTACTACAATTCCCATCGCAATGGCCATGGCGACTGGGGCTGGCAGGAGTTATAGTTCTACAACAACGAGAGGGCACTCGGCTGGGGAAGGCTGTAGCAGTGAATCAGGAAAACGGTAGGCCCAAATGATTGCTGACCACCCGGTTGCACATCAGAATTTGCACTCAGCTCTCCACAGTGTAGAAGAGCCGATTCATATTGTAATGACTACATAGAAGAACTCTTCCTGGTAATATTAATGCAGCTATAATATCTAAGTGATTCATCAGCACGATTTAGCAATTTAAAGCACTTCCGAACTACTAAAAAGATGCTGTATGCAGCAGATTATTATTATTAATATTTTTAAAAAATATTATTTTTAATAAAAGGACTTATAAGAATTGCAGGTGGCAAGTACTGTCTTAAAAGCGACATGCCTCTGCTCTTTGACGAAGGAGGAAATGCCACTTCTTGGAAGATTATACCTGCTATGAGATCATCATCTAGCAAAGAAACCATGCCTCTCTTTTTGCTTTAGGACAATTCTTTTCAAACATTTGCAGATTTATGCCAGTTTTATTAACGGACCAGTGGGTAATTCAGCTTAACAGCCTTATATTTTACTGTGCCCATTTCATTATGACTGAACTGCACTTGGGGAAACATAGAATATATATTTAAAAAGGAGACAGTGAAGAATAAGGATTGAAAAGGAGACTGATAACTATGCTTACACGAGCTGTCTTAACTATTTATTCTCTTAGTCGCTGTGCATCCTGAAATTGGGTAATCTTTGCCTGCAGAAGTTAGTCTGCAGTATATAAAGCATGCAACTCACAGATCCGCATAAATGCTTTTGCCAACTTCCCATCTTCTCCATCAGATCAAGGCAGGCTGCCGTCTTTCAAACCTCCCTAGCTATGAGCTAGCGAGAGAACTAGATTGAGTTGGCTGAAATCAGCTGTTTGCTTAAGCTGCTGGGGTGTCATGGAATGCTCACAAACATTTCCCAACTGCTTCGAAGTGTCAAGGATTCTCCGCCCTTAGAGTCCGGGAACAACTGGTGTTGGTGCGAAAGGCCACAATTCCACCATTGGTGAACTCTTAAACTAGTCTCTGCCCAGCCTGGTGCCCTTCAATGCTACCTGCTCCCTGGTAGCTGTAGTCCAAATCAGCTAGAGGGCACCAGGTTGGCAAAGACTGCCTCAGACTGTGTGTCTATGAGAGTGGCAGGTGAGCAGTGTGTGTGAATGGGGTTTATGGCTGGCTCCAGATTTTATGTTGCCTAAAGCAAAGAAATGGGAAGCGGGTGGTACTGTGGGTTAAACCACAGAGCCTAGGACTTGCCAATCAGAAGGTTGGCGGTTCGAATCCCCGGGATGGGGTGAGCTCCCGTTGCTCGGTCCCAGCTCCTGCCAACCTAGCAGTTCGAAAGCACGTCCAAGTGCAAGTAGATAAATAGGTAGCGCTCCGGCGGGAAGGTAAACAGCGTTTCCATGTGCTGCTCTGGTTCGCCAGAAGTGGCTTAGTCATGCTGGCCACATGACCTGGAAGCTGTACGCAGGCTCCCTCAGCCAGTAAAGCGAGATGAGCACCACAACCCCAGAGTCGGTCACAACTGGACCGAATGGTCAGGGGTCCCTTTACCTTTACCTTAAAGCAATGAAGAAGAGTTTGGATTTGATATCCAGCTTTATCACTACCCGAAGGAGTAGGCCAGATGTCCTCCCCTTATTCCACGTAGGGGAGCAGAGTGGAAGTTAACTCATATTTCAACACCAGCAATGAGACAGGGTTCCCACCCCACCCCTGAGGCAACTGCTGAGCTTAAGAGCAGCTCTGCTCAGCAGGAATGGCCAGGAATAACCCCTCTCCTAGGCACACCAGCATCTGTTGCCAGAGGCAGCCGAATCAATTGACCTAACGGTAGGGCCGGCCCTGATAATTTTTGTATCCAAGTGCTGCATTTTATTTCCAAGTGGGAGAGCTTCTGAGAGCATCGGTGGGGAAGCAGACAAAGCACACATCTGCGAATTTGCATCAGTCTCCATTTGTGCGTCTAACTTGCCGGAGGTTTGCTTTATTTATTTTTTTGCAGCTGAAGCAATTGGCCTGAAATAATAACAAGCTCATGTCTCTTCTCCGCACAGCGGTCTGCTCGAAGCATGTTGGTCAGGATCGGCCCCAGCCCGTTTTCAGAACAGCATCTTCTCGCCGTGGAGGATTCGGGTCAGGAGTATTCCACCCGGAAGTCACCCTCAGCTCCATTCATGCCTGAAGGACCCTCCGCGTCCCCTGAGCCAGACCTTCTGCTGCCCGCCAATGCCACCAACGCCACGGACTGCGGGGAGGATATACTGCTGTACGGGGACACTGAGAAGGTCATCATCGGGACGGTCCTCTCGGTCATCACTCTGCTGACCATTGCGGGCAACAGCTTGGTCGTCATCTCCGTATGCATCGTCAAAAAGCTCCGCCAGCCGTCCAACTACCTGGTGGTCTCCTTGGCTGCGGCTGACTTGTCTGTGGCCTTTGCCGTCATGCCCTTCGTCATCATCACCGACCTGGTGGGAGGGGAATGGCTCTTTGGGGAGGTCTTCTGCAACGTCTTCATTGCCATGGACGTCATGTGCTGCACGGCATCCATCATGACGCTCTGCGTCATCAGCGTGGACAGGTAGGGATGGTCTCCTGCTTTACGAATCATAGGCTCACAGAATTGTGTGTGTTTGTGCACGTAGGTGTGTGGAAATGTTCAGTGGAAACAGCAGCAGGGGCAGAAAACAGAGAAGAGACTGTCTAGGTTCATAGAATCATTGGATTGTTGTGGGAATGTTCAGGGATGCAGGAGAGGACATATTGTTTTATTATAGCCTTTCCAACTTGTGTTAACAAGTTCACAATTTAGCAGAGTAACATTCCCTTTTTTAAACTCAGCGGATGCGTTTGCTCAGGCTCGCTAAACCTATATAATAACTGTTCTGGTATTTCCCTCTTATTCCCTCATAAAAGATAAGACACGACACAGTCTTCTCTAAAAGTATAAAAAGAGTTTACTCACATTCTGCTCACAATCGGATCCCAGAAGGCAGACTTAGCTTAGAAAAGTAACATATACCTGGAAACTATCTCATAAGAAGACAGTCCCTTTGTCCTCTCTTGGCTGGAAGCCAAGAGGACATCATTGGCTAAGCAGATGTTGCTTCTTCGATGCATGCAGTCAAAGAGAGAGAGATGGCTGCCCTGCCCTGTGCTTTTGTCGTTACCTGCACAGGTGAGGCCACGCCCACCTCTAGTCACATGCAGAGGAAGTCTGTCCCAGCCCAGAAGGAAACAGGGAGTTTACCTGCTGGCTGGACAAACATTCTACCCCATGTGTAAACATGTTCACTCTAGGAATGTTGTACTTGACTGCTCTTGTATTTCACATCCCACAAAATGCGCACGTGGCCTTTGCAGGTCATCTAGACCAGCTTTTCTCAACCCTGGGTCCCCAGATGTCGTTGGACTACAACTCCCACCATCCCACCATCCCCTGACCACTGTTCCTGCTAGCTAGGGATGATGGGAGATCTAGATCAAAACAGGAAACCCCCAGCTAGAGCATTTGCTACACAACTCGTTCTGTCGGCACAAGGATTTGCCCTTGCGCGAAGGAACTTTCTCCCCTCTCCCCCTTCCCCTATGCACTCTTCCCCCCCAAAAGAAAAACTTTCCGAAGCAAATTTGGAGAGTGCATGGAGTGCACTCAGGGGAAGAAGTAGGGGAGAGGTTCCATTTTATGCCTACAAATCCTTGCGTGAACAGAACGAGCGTGTTGGATACTACCCCTGATAATTTCTTGCTGCTGAATGTGAAATGTATGCTATTGAAGGAGCACCGCTAAATAAGCAACTACCCTATGGATGATGATCGTGGATGTGGGTGTGCAGCCTTTGCATTCAGATCCTTTTGCTGGATTGGGAACAGTACAAGGATGCGTGAAGATGGAATTTAGATGGGCAGAGCCATTGCTTAGAGGCAGAGCACATGTCGTGCATACAGAAAACCTTAACCAGGCCGATTATTTAGAATCACTGTCATTGTCTGGTGGGCTCTGTAATCAACTGCAAGTGAAACTCTCTCTAGGTTTCTCACTGCAGTACAGGGAAATTAAGAGGATGGTATGCATTGCCTAAAGGTGACATTTCATGACGGAGGCCACCCGATAGTCTAACCAATTCAGTTGTCTGAGTGTCTTTATTTATGTAGTGAAAAACAGCCACAGGGAGATGCCAGCAGGCTTGGGGGGAATCGGAGACTTGCAGATGTAGGAGCAAGGAGAAGCTGTAGAACATCACCCCTCTAAAAAACAATACAGCCCAATGAAGATGGCATGTACTCGATGCCTGCAGAACGTTGATAGGGGGGAAACTGAATAATAATAATAATAATAATAATAATAATAATAATATTTTATTATTTATACCCCACCCATCTGGCTGAGTTTCCCCAGCCACTCTGGGCGGCTCCCAATCGAGTGTTAAAAACAATACAGCATTAAATATTAAAAACTTCCCTAAACAGGGCTGCCTTCAGATGTCTTTTAAAGAGAAGATAGCTGCTTATTTCCTTCACATCTGAAGGGAGGGCGTTCCACAGGGCGGGTGCCACTACCGAGAAGGCCCTCTGTTTGGTTCCCTGTAACTTCACTTCTCGCATTGAGGGAATTGCCAGAAGGCCCTCGGCGCTGGACCTCAGTGTCCGGGTAGAACGATGGGGGTGGAGACACTCCTTCAGGTATACTGGGCCGAGGCCGTTTAGGGCTTTAAAGGTCAGTACCAACACTTTGAATTGTGCTCGGAAACGTACTGGGAGCCAATGCAGATCTCTCAGGACCGGTGTTATATGGTTCCGGCGGCCACTCCCAGTCACCAGTCTAGCTGCCGCATTCTGGATTAATTGCAGTTTCCGGGTCACCTTCAAAGGTAGCCCCACATACAGCACATTGCAGTAGTCCAAGCGGGAGATAACCAGAGCATGCACCACCCTGGTGAGACAGTCTAAGGGCAGGTAGGGTCTCAGCCTGAGTACCAGATGGAGCTGGTAAACAGCTGCCCTGGACACAGAATTGACCTGCGCCTCCATGGACAGCTGCGAGTCCAAAATGACTCCCAGGCTGCGCACCTGGTCCTTCAGGGGCACACTTACCCCATTCAGGACCAGGGAGTCCTCCACACCCAACTGGATGGGAGGGGGAATAATATGACTGGAAGAAGTGGAAGGAGAGAGAGATGCTTTCAGGTTCCTACTCATCTTCTGACCCCAGCTTGCACCCACCTGTTCATTCATTCTGGACAGCCTCTTGCCTGAAAAGGGAGAGCTTCAAAGGTTCTCTGCCTCCCAGCCACCACAACCTCCACACAACATTTTGTCACTGGTCCCTGCTTGTATATACCAAGAGTGACCTCATTCTCTGAGAGCCTATCCTTGCGTAGCCAAAACAGCACCACCCAGGCACAAGAGAGGGGGGACCCGTAGCTTTGTGGAAACCCTGAGGTTTCAGCTCAGAGAGTACTGAGCATGCCATGGAATGCCAAATTTTTGTAGGGATGGGTTAATGAAAATCTGGGGGTGTGGAAGAGAGAGAGGAGTAATGGACTGGAATATTCGTTTTTCACTTTTCCTTTTTTATACATTTTTATTGGGTTTTTTAACATATCATTTCCCACAATCATGTAACATAACTTCTTATCTTATACAATATTTTAGACTTCCGTCAACTCCTCTGATGATTTTTCATTCTCTATCACTTATTCTACATTTCTTAATTTCTCTATTACTCTTAATTATCATTAGCTAATAACTCTCCTCATAGTCTTTCTTGCAATATTTCAAATAGTTCTCCTTAGAAAACTTCTTGCAGTCTTACTGGCGTAACCTGTTCATTACAACTACTTTTCCGTTTTTCACTTTTCCATACCAGTTCGTGATTGACTGATTGATTTTTAAGGGGTCTGCACAAAAAAATCATCAAAAATTTGAATACAGCTTTCCCCTGTGCACATGTCAATACTTTGAAAGTACAGTACTTTGACACAGAAGCTATGGGCCATACTTTGTTTTGTTGCCTCCTTCCTAAAGCTTACCCAGCTTTGAGAAGGCAATGTGAGGGTCAGGAATCAAATGTTGCCGAGGGCTGCCAAAAAGGGCTGTATGCGTGTTGGACCACCCTGGTCTAGTACAGCCTCGCACCACAAGGAAATGCCTATACCACAAATTTAAGCCCATTTCAAATGAGCCACGTTGCGTCCAAACAACCTGTTTGTTGAGCATTCGCCCTGATTTGCTTTCACAAAGATTATGGATGGGCGTTGCAACATCTGTTGTTCATCATGATGTCTTGGTGGAGAGATTGTGTCAAGCCATAGTGCCTTTTTCCATTGCTTTCCTTACTGGGGGGGGGCGGGGATTGGGGAGGGGCTTACAAGAACACCCAAACCAATTTAATTTTACTTCCTGAATTTTCTGGCAAGCGCTTGAATCCCAGCTACAAAACAGTCTGGAAGTCTAGAACCCAAGGGGGCCTCACTACTGTAAATCCAAACCAAATCTGCCAAGATAATGAATTTGTTTGTTTGCGGTATTTATATCCCACTTTCTTGTCCAAGGAGCAAAAGGGGGGTGCGCATGGACCTCTCCCTCCTCTCTTAATCTCCACAACAATCCTGTGAGGTAGCTTAGGCTGAGGTCACCCCGTGAGCTTCGTGCCTAAGTAGGGATTTGAACTCGGGTCTCTCCCGGGTCCTAGTCTGGCACTCTGCACCGCACTGTACAGCTATCCCTTGATGCTTTTAAAATATCCTGTTCTTCTCCCAGCCTGTGCACTTAATTCCTTGTCTGTGCGACTTTCTATCTTTGAAACAAAAACAAAGGAAAGAAATCTGAGCAGAATTAGGAAGCAGACACTTAAAGTTAATTGTGCAAGTTACCGCAGCAGCGCCTCTGAATGCAAAGGGTAGGCGTGTGGAATTCAAAAGCAATCCCAGACTGCACGTATTTAATGTTTGGTGCTCCTGTTAGAAGGAGCCATAAAGTCTGAGAGGCGGAGATTTATTTTATTTATTTGGAAATGTCTGCACTGCCCTTCACTATAAATATGCACAGAAATAAAAAGGAGCAGCCTCTTCGGTGAAGGGCGCCCATTGTACATAAGCTGGGTTCAGCAATCGCATTTATCACTGCCTGTTGTTGTTGCTTTTAAAAAAAGAATGGTTATGAAGCAGAAGTCCTTTATAGCAGGGACGGGGAGCTGCTTCCAGCCTGCGGGCTGTCTTTCCTTCTGGGCAATCTTCCAAGGGCCACATGCCAGTGTTTGGAAGGCCAGAGGCAAAGGCAGGTGGAACAATGAATATTTTTTATAGCTTTGTACAACAGACTGGCTCCTACACACACTCACACCTCTCTCTCTGCCCTCCATCCAAACAAGGAAGAGACATGATCAGAGTTCAAGGACAAATCCTAGCCAGGCAAAAACCCTTGAGGAAGGTGAGAAGGAGGGCTAATGAGAGGTTTGGCTTGGGGAGGAGGCAATAATAATAATAATAATAATAATAATAATAATAATAATTTATTATTTGTACCCCGCCCATCTGGCTGGGTTTCCCCAGCCACTCTGGGCAGCTTCCAACAAGGATTAAAAATACATCAAAATGTCACACATTAAAAACTTCCCTGAACAGGGCTGCCTTCTGATGTCTTGTAAATGTCAGGTAGTTGTTCTTCTATTTGACATCTGATGGGAGGGCATTCCACAGGGCGGGCGCCACTACCGAGAAGGCCCTCTGCCTGGTTCCCTGTAGCAAGGCCAGGGAGAGAGATCTAAGGGGCTGCATTTGTTCCCTTAGCCTGAGGCTCCTCACCTCTGCATTAAAGAGATGGCCCATTTGGTGGCCAACCCAGCTCGAGTGATTGATCCCTTCATCCATCCCTCTAAGGTTAAACACTCAGATTTTTGCTAGCAGAAAACAACAATAGTTAGTTACCAACTCAGTTAGAGCAGTCTTTTCTTTAGCTTCAATATTTTAAAAAAGAGGTAAAGGAACCCTGACAGTTAAGTCCGGTCGTGAACGACTCTGGGGTTGCGGCGCTCATCTCGCTTTACTGGCTGAGGGAGCCGGCGTTTGTCTGCAGGCAGTTTTTTCCGGGTCATGTGGCCAGCATGGCTAAGCCACTTCTGGCGAGACCAGAGCAGCGCACGGAAACGCTGTTTACCTTCCCGCCGGAGAGGTACCTATTTATCTACTTGCACTTTGACGCGCTTTCGAACTGCTAGGTTGGCAGGAGCTGGGACCGAGCAACGGGAGCTCACCCCGTCGCGGGGATTCGATATAGCCCCATGGAAAATCCCCACGTTCAAGCCTTTATGGGAGGTTGGGTGAGTAACACCACCACACCTTCTTGGAATAATAGGTCCGGAATTGCCCAAGAAAGATGTTAGATTGTTTTTGTATTTCACAACTGCTGCTAGGATTTTCCAAGAACTGGAAATTACAAGAAGTGCCAACAGTGGAGGAACGGCAGATGAAGATGATGGACTTTCCGGAGCTAGCCAACCTGACCGGAAGAGTTCGTGACCAGAAGGAGGAGGAGTCCCAGGAGGAATGGATGAAATTCAAAGACTATTTAGCTAAATATGCTAAGATCATTTAAATAGAAATACTTGCAATTACCAGATTGGCTTAGGATTTAAATATGTAATGTTATAGAACAATATGTTTAAATTTAATATGAAAAGAAAGAAAGATGTTACTTGATTAAGTAAATTTTATGAGAAATTAGTTTTGGAAAACTGTTACAATGATACACACTGAAATTCACGGCCTAGGACCCTCGTACCTACGGGACCGCCTCTCCTGGTATGCCCCGCGGAGGACCTTAAGTTCCATAAATAGCAACACCCTAGAGGTCCCAGGCCCTAAATTAGATTAGCCTCAACCAGAGCCAGGGCCTTTTCAACACTGGCTCCGACCTGGTGGAACTCTCTGTCTCATGAGACCAGGGCCCTGCAGGATCTGATTTCTTTCCACAGCGCCTGTAAGACAGAGTTGTTCCGCCTGGCCTTTGGCTTGGAGCCAATTTGATTCCCTCCCCCTCTTTCTTTTTCCTTTCTCCTCCTGTGATGAGGCTGCATTTTAATATTTTAATTTATTTAATGTTTAATGGGAGGAAAAACAAACAAACACTACCACACCTCCCTGCATGTTGTATGTCTTGCGCACGTGGTCCCTGGGGACGCAGCATGGGTGTCGGTGGGTCTGGCACCTGACCCCTCCTCACGTGTGTCTCGACGGGCTTCTGCGTGCTCTGAAATGAATAAATCCTGAGAGGTGCTGGCTGCCTGCAGGTGTCGCCGAAGCAAATAGGACCTGACACTGTGCCCAGCAACTGGAGCAGACCCTGAACAGCATTTAAGCATGCATTCAGCACCCTTCTCTAAGCCTTACTTGACTGCAGATCAAAGTACAGATTAATTAATCACTTAACGATCCCTTGCAAGTCTTTTCACGGCCTCCTTCCAGATGCTGTGTACATGGAGGAGGGGGACTTCATTGCTGATGATAGAAGCACTGCTAATCCGGATCTCTTTTTTAAAAAACACTGAACTCAAATAAACTCTGCCGTCCTGAATAATTTTTAGCCGAGTGCTCTTTTCTGCAAAGCCTCAGAAACTTCTGCCTATTACATCCATCTGAGACCTGCACCGCTGGCTGAATTGCTACTGGGCCCATGTTCAAGGTGGGGTTATTAGTATGCAAAGCGCTTAACAACTTGGGACCAGTTTGCCTACAAGAACGCCTGGCCCCACATGCACCCACTCGACTGCTGCAATTGGCAGAACTGGCACGGTTACAAGCGCCACATAAAACCCATTTCTCATTGGTAAGAACTCAGTCTTTTACTGTGGCAGCACCTGCCCTTCGGAACCCCCCGCTACTTGATATCAGGCAGGCACCTTCGTTGTACTCTTTTTGGCACCTGCTAAAAACATTCTTGTTTAGACAAGCCTACCCAGATGGTTAAATAATTGGTGCAAGTTGTTGTTGTTGTTTACTTATACCCTGCCCATCTGACTGGGTTGCCCCAGCCAAAGTTTAATCTATTTTTAGTCTATCATCTTAACTTTTCAAAAGTTTTAAATTATCATTGTTAAAGTTTAAAATTTTCTTATTGATGATTTTGTTGTTCTATCTTTTTTTGTGAACTGCTTTGAGGCTGTTTTTGTGGGTTGATTTTGTTTGTTTTTTTACAACTGAGAGATGTATAATTTTTGTGAACTAAATAAACATCATTTTTTTAATTTATTTTTTGAGGTGGGTGGTTTGAGTTAGCCACACACCTCTTGTTCCACGAAGGATGTCTGCGTAGCTTTTGCCTTTCTAAACTTTCTAAATCCAGTCACTCCGGCATTTCTTCCACAATAAACATAATAAGCATTTAGAAAATTAGAATAAAATTATTCTCAACCCGGCTCTCTCAGCCCGGCTACCTCCAGATGTTTTAGACCTCAACTCTCATCAGTCCTGGCCAGCCCAGATCCAAGTGCACCTTTGGAGGGGTTTCTGGGGTCACAGAGATTTCCTGGGATCTAGATCACGACACTGCCTGCCCACACATGCTCATTTCTGTTTTGCTGATTAAATCCTTACAGCAATTGCAAACAGTCCTCCATGGGCACCACAGTTCAAGAAGGACACTGACAAACTGGAACGTGTCCAGAGGAGGGCAACCAAAATGGTCAAAGGCCTGGAAACGATGCCTTATGAGGAACGGCTAAGGGAGCTGGGCATGTTTAGCCTGGAGAAGAGGAGGTTAAGGGGTGATATGATAGCCATGTTCAAATATATAAAAGGATGTCACATAGAGGAGGGAGAAAGGTTGTTTTCTGCTGCTCCAGAGAAGCGGACACGGAGCAATGGATCCAAACTACAGAGAAGATTCCACCTAAACATTAGGAAGAACTTCCTGACAGTAAGAGCTGTTCGACAGTGGAATTTGCTGCCAAGGAGTGTGGTGGAGTCTCCTTCTTTGGAGGTCTTTAAGCAGAGGCTTGACAACCATATGTCAGGAGTGCTCTGATGGTGTTTCCTGCTTGGCAGGGGGTTGGACTCGATGGCCCTTGTGGTCTATTCCAACTCTATGATTCTATGATATGATGTGCTACCACAACGTGGTTATGCAACGGACCCTGGACCCTGCTATTTTTACATTAACTCCAAGAGCTAGCTGGACCCCCTGTAGGACAAGCACACACATTGTTGCCTGGTAACCAAAGAGATGTAATTAGAACAGAGTGATTTTTAAAAAAGAGAGAGAGAGAAACCCTACCACGTGGGTTCTAGTGGCGGTTCCTGAGAGGGTGGTTAAAAGGTGGCTGTGTTCACTGCTGCAATGATTTGTGACCCACTTTGCATCTCCCAAAAGAAACTCAGTTCAGCAGCCGCAGTGTCGTGGGCAGAGGGAATAAGTGACCTGTGTGGAGTTTTGTTTTGCTGAGCTAGAACATCGAGCCACCTAGCCCTGAGCAGCGTCTCTTGGAGGGAGAACTGAGCTTTTCCCCATCCCTGCTAACTGTGACACCGGCTGGAGTTACCGGGGATTGAATCCACCCTGGACGCAGCGCATGACAAGCACATGGCTCCACCTCAACCACTGGCTCTGCCCCATGTGTCAGGGGGTGATGCGAGTGATGGGAATTGCGTTCAGGTCACATTTAAAGGTGTTCCTGCTTAATTTGCCTTTCTGAAATAGCATGAGAGTCGAAACGTGGCCACCTTTTAAAAATTCACACTTCCCCGAATTTTGCAGTGCACTTTGCCAGTCAAGTAATTTGTATAAAAAATGCATATGGCATAAATAGGCATGCCTTTGTGAAGACAACATACAACATGCATGAACCTACCTGGACCCTGAGAATCATCCTCTGAGGCCCTTCTTTGTGTGCCTCCTCCACGTGAGGGTGGCAACATAAGAATGGGCCTTTTCTGTGGTGGCTCCCCATTTGTGGAATGCTCTCCCAGGGAGGCTCATCTGTTGCCTTCATTATACATCTTTAGGTGCCAAGCAAGAATATTCCTCTTCTCCCAAGCCTTTGGCTAATTAAACTATCTATGACCTTTTAAACTGTGGGGGTACTGTTTTCGTTTGTTACGAAAATCCTCGTTATTGCATATTTTTACATGGCTGTTTATTCGTATATATTTTTTAAAAAATGTATATGGATGTTTTATGATGGCCTATATTTCTAATTGGGACTCGGGTGGTGCTGTGGTCTAAACCCCTGAGCCTTTTGGGCTTGCTGATCAGAAGGTCAGCGGTTCAGATCCCTGCCACACGGTGAGCTCCCGTTGCTCTGTCCCAGCTCCTGCCAACCTAGCAGTTCAAAAGCACACCAGTGCAAGTAGATAAATAGGTACCGCTGTGACAGGAAGGTAAACAGCGTTTCCATGCACTCTGGTTTCCATCACGGTATCCTGTTGTGCCAGAAGCAGTTTAGTTATGCCGGCCACATGACCCGGAAAGCTGTCTGTGGACAAATGCCGGCTCCCTCAGCCTGAAAATTGAGATGAGCGCCACAACCCCATAGTCACCTTTAACTGGACTTAACCGTCCAGGGGTCCTTTACCTTTTTACCTAACCTTATATTTCTAATGCCTAATAAAGGTTTGACGAAGCCAAATCCAACCTACCAATCTTTCCTTGGTGTTTTCCAGGTACCTGGGAATAACCCGGCCGCTGACGTATCCCGTGAGGCAAGACGGGAAGTTGATGGCCAAGATGGTGTTCATTGTTTGGCTCCTCTCGGCCTCCATCACTCTGCCCCCTTTGTTTGGCTGGGCAAAGAACATCACGGTGGAACGGGTGTGCCTCATCAGCCAGGACTTTGGCTACACCGTCTACTCCACCGGCGTCGCCTTCTACATACCCATGGCCGTCATGCTCGTCATGTACAACAGGATCTACAAGGCAGCCAAGGCCAGCGCTCAGAAACACCGCTTCATGGACTTCCCCAGGCCTTACGAGCCAGACGGAGCCTACTGCATCGAGCCTGGCGTCCGGCGCCAGCATAGCACCAAGAGGAGCAAGGCTGTGGAGCAATGTGCCACCTTGTCCAAACTCCTCCGCCAAGACCGGAAGAACATCTCCATCTTCAAGAGGGAGCAGAAAGCAGCCAGGACCCTGGGCATCATTGTGGGGGCCTTCACCTTTTGCTGGCTCCCCTTCTTCCTGATGTCAACGGCCCGGCCGTTCATCTGCGGCAGCCGCTGCAGCTGCATCCCTTTGAGGCTGGAGAGGACTCTCCTCTGGCTGGGGTACGCCAACTCCCTCATCAACCCCTTGATCTACGCCCTCTTCAACCGGGACCTGAGGACTACTTTCTGGAACCTGCTGCGCTGCAGCTACCGCAACATCAACCGCAGGCTGTCCGCCGCAAGCATGCACGAGGCCCTGAAAGCCACAGAGAAACATGAGGGCATCATCTAAGGCTGCGGGCCCATGTGGACGTTGGCATTTAAAAGCGTTGCGGTCACTCACTAAGGGAGGCAGACCCTCCCTGCAGCTGCCCGCTCACACCAAGGATTGGGGGCTTTCCTGGATGGGCATCACCAAAGCAGGGCAACGATTATCCGGTTCCCCTGCAGCCCTGGGGAAAAAGACAGCTTTGCAAATAAGTCTACGGAAGATGCTAATTCACAAAAGGACCCAAATAAATCTGTGCATCTATGGCAGCTGTTTGCGGTATAAAGGGGAAACAATATTTTGCCACTTTCAAGAATTTTCCTATGTGTGGAAATTGGGGAGAGGAGATTATAAGATCCTAGTAAAGGCCTTTTAAGGGAAAGGAAATTAGCTGGCAAGCCAAGCGAGAATTGTATATCCGAGAGCTAGTAGCAAGGATGCTCAACAGAAGGCCTAGATCAGCTTTCCCTGACCTGACGCCCTCCAGATAATTTGGACTTCAACTCCCATCACCCCTGACCTTTGGCCATTCCGGCTGAAGCTGATGGGAGTTGGAGTCTCACGACATCTGGAAGTCACCAGGATGAAGAAGGCATGGCATCTGCTGTGGAGCTCTTATGTAATAATAATACTTAACATTCATACAGTTCTTCCAGGGCATTTCGCATTCATTTGCTTCGATTATCCTTACCGTACGACCCGTAAGGATAGTCATAGCCGCTAGGGACTGAGAGAGAGGAAGCGGTTTATGTTAACAGACCATAGATGAGGCAAGATGCAGGGCTCTTCGTTTTCATGGGTGCACACACTGACCAAGTGAGGACTTAGATTTTGAGTATGGAACCCAGCATGCTGAGATGCTCTGTCCCCATCTGAAATAAAAACAAATAGGCAAGTTTCTAGTCCTTTGGCTAGAAAGGGAAGGCAAAAAGGGAAACGGAGCAAAAATTTCCAGGGGACCTGACATTAGCACCTTGTGCCTCACTATGGCGGAGAGAAGTGGAGCATAAGATATCAGGCCAGGCAGTTTGTCCATCTTGGCCAGCAATGTCTGCTCTGACTGGCAGCATGTCCCCAGGGTCTGAGGCAGTAAAAGGTCTTCCCCGGCCCCTATTCTCCGATCCTTCTACCTGGAGATGCAAGGACTTGAACCAGGGACCTTCTACAAGCATAGTATTTGCTCAACCACTAAGCATTGATTCAGTCCAGAAGGAGTTACGCCAAATGAGTCAATACATTCTCATATGCACCCATGTAGACAGGTAGCAGAACACAGTTTTTCTCCGCCTTCCTTGACGATTCCCTGGCCCCCCCACAAAGAGCCGCGTCCTGCCTTGATGCTGGATAGCTCAGTCAGTATAGCAAGGGACCCTTAATCCCAGGGTTGTGGGTTTGAGCTCCATGTTGCGTGAAAGATTCCTGCATTGCAGGGGGTTGGACTAGATGACCCTTGTGGCCCCTTCCAACTCTACAGTTCTATCATTCTGTTATCAGAGATGCACATTTTCATTCCTTAGTTGGTGGTCTGGAGTATATCAGGCTCAACAAGCCTCTTCCATCTGCCAACTGAGCTTGCTGTCCAACGCCTCCCTATCTCCCCACATTTCTTGCATTTCGCAGCAGCTGCTGGCTCTCTTTCGCTAGTCTCTGCTGCCGTCTGGTAACCATGCATGTCCATGCATCCAAAGCAATGTACAGAAAACAAAAACATTATACCCATCAGGCAGAAACATGGTTTGCCTACATGCAGTGGCTTTTAGAAAGAACAACAATGTGCTAACTTTATCACAAAGAGGCGTACCACATTGGACTGGGGGAGTGGCTATCAGACTGGAGGATGTGGATGGCATTGTGGTCTAAACTACTGAGCCTCTTGGACTTGTTGATCAGAAGGTTGGGGGTTTGAATCCCCACCACGGGGTGAGCTTCCGTTGCTCTGTCCTAGCTCCTGCCAACTTAGCAGTTCAAAAGCACGCCAGCGCAAGTAGATAAGTAGATACTGCTGTGGTGGGAAGGTAAACAGTGTTTCCGTGCGCTCTGGTTCCCGTCACGGTGTCCCGTTGTGCCAGAAGCGGTTTAGTCTTGCTGCCCATATGACCCGGAAAGCTGTCTGTGGACAAACTCCGGCTCCCTCGGCCTGAAAGCAAGATGAGCGCTGCAACCCCATAGTCGACTTGGACTGGACTTAACCGTCCAGGGCTCCTTTACCTTTACCTTACTGGCTATCCATTCTGAGTTGCAACTGCAAGAGAATGGCGATGGAGCTTCGATAGCAGGTTAGAAAGTTTCACCACTCTGCCACTCTGGTAATGTAAGCAAGTAATTCGGCAGAAAGGAAATCCTCAGTGTTTTCCAGACCAAAGGCTACTAAGTCTCAGAGATGAGAGTGATTTGAATGGCAGGGTCTAAATTGAAAACTTCAAGACACTCACTAGCTTCTAATTTCTTCAAATTTCAGCCAGCTTTGGAAACGAGAGGTCAGGAACACGCTGGGTTAATTTAAGGGCGGAAAGCAACACCTTGAGAATCAATGGCAATGAAAAGGGCACTTTTGTGTGGAGGCAACTTGTTTAAAATAGCAGCACCCTACAAAAACCTTTGTCAACTTGGCCAACGTGCAGGTGGGGGTTGTCCTCCAAAACATCTGTAGGGCACCAAATTGGCAAGCAATGCCCTACTCCGAACACACTCTAGAAAAACAGTGTGCATTTGTGTGTGCCTGGCGCAACCCTAGAAGACACAACCTTGTGGAGAACTTTCTGCAGGAACCACAAAACGTCAATCATCAGCATAATCTTTCTCCCTCTGATCCAATATGGCAGACAGGGTTAAATCGCTTGGCCTAGCTATTCCATGGAGTAGAAATGAGAAGGCCTGGGGGGGAAACTGGAGAAATGGGAAAAAAACCAATTTCCCCCTGTTTTTTCCCCGTTTCCCCCCAAAGCCATTTTTTTCCAGAAAAATTGAAAAAAACAGTTTGATATAGTTTGAATATTCCACACACTTTTTTCTCCATTTTTTTCTGAAAAAAAAAATGACTTTGGGGAAAAAAGTTTTCCCCCAGTTTCCCCCCAGAACTTCCCATCTCTACCAGGGAGCCTTTTTCCGTCTGAAGGCTACATTCCCTTCTCACCCCCAGAAACAAAAGCCGGCGGAACGACGAGTGTGAATTTTACATTTGTATGATAAGTTTACACACACACATAGCCTGCAAGTCTCCCAGCAAAACCAGGACATCCCTTTTTTTTTTATTTCTCAAGAACGGCTTGATTTTTTGAAAATAAAACTGATCTGAGAGAACACTGACAGATTCCAACCAGACTGAACTGATATCGAGAGGGTTTGTTTAGAAACACAGTGGCATTTTTTTCTGCCGGGGCTGATGGGAATCTTGAGGGCACCTTGGGAAAGGCTTTTTCTACCAGGAACCAGGAAAACAGGCCAGTTGTTCCAAGGGCTGAGGGTGAAATCTGCGGTAATTCAAGAATCCAAATTAAATAAAGGTGTTACTGACTTACCAGCTGAGCGGCCTGGTTATTTGAATTTTGTGCACGCCTCATGGTACGTTTAGGTTGAAAACAGGTTGGGTTGGACTAGAGGAGCTTTGTGGTCCCTTCCAATAATTCCACAATTCTGTGATTCCAATGTACAGTGGTACCTCAGGTTACAGACGCTTCCGGTTACAGACTCGGCTAACCCAGAAATAGTACCTCGAGTTAAGAACTTTGCTTCAGGATGAGAACAGAAATCGCAAGGTGGCGGCAGCGGGAGGCCCCATTAGCTAAAGTAGTACCTCAGGTTAAGGACAGTTGCAGGTTAAGAACAGACCTCCAGAACGAATTAAGTTCTTAACCCGAGGTACCACTGTAGATTGTTTTCCTGTCAAGGGCCACAGTATCTTGCTCAGTCATGACTGTAGTGGCACGGCTGTCTTGCATGCAGCACTGGCGGTTTGAGGGGTGCTCTGTGAAGCCCCATGAGGAATCCCCACCGGCACCCACAACATTACCTGCTGGAGGTGATTATGCCCAGGCACCTTCTATTTCCCTTTCTCCGGTTGGTGCAGATTGCAGGTTGACTTTTCCTTCAGTCCTTTGCCAAAGCTTTGCATCTTCCTTCCCAGGGCTGCTACAGCCTCACCTGCCACCTTCTTAAGTATAAAGAGCAACAGCGAGGAGAGGAGGAGAGGAGAGGAGAGAGAGAGAGCAGGGGCGTCTTGCCCATAGAGGCAAGTGGTACAGAGCACCAGGGCGCCAGGGAAGAGGCGGAGGCTGGACGTGGCGCCTCCCGGCATCAGCTCGCTGCCCTTGCTCGCCTCGCTGAAGCAGCGCTGCGCCCAGAGCCTCCGCCTCTTCCCCGCCAGAGGAGCCGCCCTCCAGCCGCTGCCCACATCCTCCAGCCCCGCAAAGCTGGCAGCAACGCTGTAAAAAGGTTGGCAACTCTGGGAAAAGGGGTGTGTGTGCGCGCCGGAGGGATCTTTGCACCACGGCGCCGGATATACTTAAGATGGCCCTGTGAGAGTCAGACAGACACACACACACAAACACACACACACACACAGAGAGAGAGACAGACACAGACAGACAGACAGGGCTCTTTTCCTCCCATTTGCCGAATTGTCCTCTCTGTTGTGCAGGCTCAATACGAGCAGGCCATATATCACAATTTGCGCAGACATTTTAAAAAAGTGCAATGCAAATCACCCAGAATTGTGGCTGATCATGTTCTGGCTCCCATCGACGCTGGGAAAGGAGCAGCTCATGACTTCATGGAGTAGCAGAGTACAAAAAAATAAAGTGACAAAGCAGAGGGGCTGGGCAATATCTGGTTTTCAACACTGTGACATATCCCCAGCTAAACACTGCGATATACTGATACATCACAATGTCTCAAAGAAGGATGAAGCGATGTAGAGGCATTGGCTGGCTTCATGGTCTTTCCCAAATTGTAATTTTTGCATAGCACACGTGCGTGTGCGCACACACACACACACACACCCCATGGTTTGTGATATATCGCCAGGTCAAAAATTATGAAACTGATATCACGATATGGACTTCAAGCCAGTTTGGGATATATTAAAATATCGCCCAGCCCTGCAAAGCAGTGACACAAAAATGATGGGAAAGGTACTTGCTCACTGGTTGAGCGTGATGTGCTTTGAGCTCAAGAGGATCGTATTGAGAGGAGAAACATGTAACAGTGTACCTAATGGGTGGGGAGCCAAGGGCCGCATTCCTTCATGGTCAACCTTTCGGGGGCCACATGCCAGCAGTGGATGAGGCCAGAAGCAAAAGTGGGTACGGCTAGAGGCAAAAGCAGGTGGAGCAATGGATAGGAGTCTTTGCATCAGAAGCACGATTGGCAATGGCAGAAGAGAGACAGCCTTCTCTATGGTTGCTCCCATTTTGTGGAATTCCTTCCTGAAAGAAGTTAGACTGGCTCCATTTTTCTTATCCTTCTGCCAGCAGATGAAGATCTTCAGACCGGCCCTTGGAAACTAAGGTGCAAACAGTGTTGGTTGCTCGCTCTTTCAGGAGGCAGCGACCGTCACCAACTTGGATGGCTTTAAAAAAGAATTGGAAAAAATCATGGAGGAGAAAAGGGCAATCAATGTAATGATCTCAGACAGGCAAGCAAGCCTTGATAAGAATTAACGACTCTCCGGCAGTTTTATGGTACATTTATTTATAAATTGCATCCAGAGTGCGGCTCCCAGCCTGCTGCTCTTTGAAATGAGTTGGTCACTCTGAGTCTCCGCCCCTGTCACAACAAGAAGGGCACCAAAGTCCAGTCCTTCCTCTTTTGCACTTCTGTTGCATTTTAACCCTTTCAGCTCTCCGGGTTCGGGGAGAAGGCGGGTGGAATTCCCCACCACTCTCAAAAGAAGAACTCTCAGCACACTGTTTCTCTGCTGGTTGCATAGCAACTCTCTCACTGCCGTCTAGCTCTCCCCCTCCCCCTTCTTGTGAGCTGTCTGTGTCTGCTGCTCTAGCTGCTTCGGGGAACTCTTGGTGAAGGGAGAGGCCAAGCCCACCCCTTCCTGCTCTGTCTGCGATCTTTCTTCTCCAGAGTTGGGCTCTGTCTCTCTTTGTGCTGGCAATCCCTCATCTCCTGAGTCTGACTCTTCCTGGGCATTCGATTCAGCCACATCCCTGACAATCAATGGCTTCTAGCCACAATGGCTTCTGCAGCTGGAAAAAGCAATGTTTCTGGATGTCAGTTGCTGGAAAACATGTGAGGGGAGAGGACTCTAGTGCTCAAATCCTGCTTGCTGGTTTCCCAAAAGAGGCATCTGGTCGGCCACTGTGAGAACAAGGATGTGGGACTAGATGGGCCATTGGCCTGATCAAGCAGGTTTTCTGATGTTCACCAAAGACAGAGGGGGAAGAATGTACAGAAGGACCCCCAAAGCCTTGCAATCCTAGATGGCTCAGTCAGCAGAGCATGGAACTCTTAATCTCAGAGTTGGGAGTTCGAGCCCCACGTTGGGCAAAAGATTCTTGCATTACAGGGGGTTGGATTAGATTACAGAGGGTGTTGGGCTTTTGGTCCCTTCCAAACCTAGAGTTCTATGATTCCAAACCAATTGACTCATACCCTTTTGACTTGAACACAAATCTCTTTGTAGAACTGTGGCAGTTCCATTGTTATGGGCGTGCAAAGTTAAACAAGAAAAATGAAATTCAGTCACGTTGCCCTTCATGACACCATAGTGAAAGACAGAATACATGGTGCGTTTCCGAACACGGAGCTTGCACTATGTGTTTTTCTGACGCTGGTGATTACTAACTGCTCCAAAGAAAGCTTTTTTTCTCAGCTGAAAAGAATTGGGAGGGGAACCCACGGAACACAACAATATTTCAGGACGAATTTGACTCACTTTCCCTAATGTGTTTTGTTGAGTCAGCTTCAATGAACTTATCCAGAATTCTGCAATCAGAAAATCTAGAAAGAAGCTATTTTAATTTCGGTATGCATCCTCCATGTGTCATTTTGAAATAAATTAAGCTTTATTTTATGGTTTAGCATTGATTCTATTTTGAATGATGTATTGGGGGCACCCTAATCTTTTCAGTGCGTAGGGTCTCTAAAGGTCTTAATCTGTCCCTGCCTCCACCCTGATGATCTATATAGTTCCCTATTCTGTTTTTTAAGTAGCCAGCCCAGCCCTGTTTCTCCAGCCCCTGCTGCCTGAGGCCACCATCTGAACTCTGCCTAATGGGAGGGTTGGCCCAAGGCCTCCAGGATGTCCTTTCCTCAAACAAGACATGGATGCAGCAGCCTTCCACTACTGATTGCTGTCCAACAAGAGATACTCACAGGTACAGTGTCTCCAAAGCTGCAGGCTCCATTGAAGCACAATGGCTAAATGCAGGGAGCGGAGAAGCACACAGATGTTTGAGGGCATCATTTTTAAAAGCAAATATTTATTGGACTATTAAACACTTATACATCTGGGTTTTTTCCTATCTGTTGAGTTTAGACATAAACTTACACATGCAGGGTTCGAACATATTAATTAGCATAAACTATCCACCAAGAATGGGCACGCAGGTGGTGCTGTGGTCTAAACCACAGAGCCTAGGACTTGCCGATCAGAAGGTCGGCGGTTCGAATCCCTGTGACGGGGTGAGTTCCCGTTGCTCGGTCCCTGCTCCTGCCAACCTAGCAGTTTGAAAGCACGTCAAAGTGCAAGTAGATAAACAGGTACCGCTCTGGCGGGAAGGTAAACGGCATTTCCATGTGCTGCTCTGGTTCGCCAGAAGCGGCTCAGTCATGCTGACCACATGACCCGGAAGCTGTATGCCGGCTCCCTCAGCCAATAAAGCGAGATGAGCACCGCAACCCCAGAGTTGGTCATGACTGGACCTAACAGTCAGGGGTCCCTTTACCTTTTACCTTATCCACCAAGAATAGTGAGTGGTTGGTATATCAAGGTCTTGATTTGGGCCATTAACCTAGTTAAAGAAAGGGGTTCATGTTTCTTGGAAGCTGTCTCTATTCGTTTTGCCCTTAACTGGTGTCCGGTGAGATGCTCAGAAATTGCTGTATCCCAGATATTATTTTCCATGTGTCCAAGGGTATTTCAGTCTGGCTCTACTTGTGCCACAGTCAGTAAGAAGCCTACCAGTTCTCTGTGGGGCAGGGTAGAGCCCAAGTCTATGTCCAAAGATAGTAGGGCTAAGGCAGGATTTGGAGAAAGAGGTTGGTGTCAGGTTTGCGATGTCTCTCTCACACCAAGACACAGCAAGTTGGCAGGTTTATTACTCTTAGATTTATTATTTACACAGTAGCTCAGTCCGAGCCGATGAGACAGTTGGACCGACTGGATGACGCTGTCGACACCAGCAGGATATCCTCCACCGGTTGCTCCACCTCCTGCTGGGCCGGCGTTGCGCCTGTACTCTACTCTTCCGTCTACTCCAAGGAGACTCAGGAGCAGCCTGGTCGCTCTTGTGGCGTTTGTATGGAGCCCCCGGTCGTCTCACGGACTATTGACCCATACACCACTAATCCGCTGCCACCAACCAGGTCCTCCCTGGTAAAATCACTTCAGTCTCAGTCAGCTTTTCAATTAATAAAGAAGAGTGTATTTTATTTCAGACACAAACAAAACTTTTACAGCGTTCCAAACGTTGTTGCTCTTTACTTTCTTAGTCTTATTTTCCTCTATCTCTTCTACCTCCCCACACTCAAGAACCCACTGCCCTGTCTCTCTGTTCCCAACTGCCTCTCCCAACCAGCCAACCCACTAAAACCAACCAACTCCCAACGAACTCCTCCCAGAACTAGTTTTATAGACCCACTGACTCCACCCCCCTGGGTCCTGTCTGTGCAACCTATTTAACTATTTCCCCTCCAGCACTCTCTCATATATGTTAACGCCACAGCTCTGGGAAGAGAAGTCCCTGATAGTTGGCTTGTAATGACAGATATAATAGAGAATGCTCGGTTCCAAAAGTTTTTAACGTGAGGGCATTCCCATCAAACGTGAATAATGAACCAAGTTTTCCAGAACCAAAGGGGAAAGGGAGGGATTCAGTTGTGCTGGCCTGGCTATCTGGTGCCATCGGAGGATGACTTTGGGTGAAGCCTCCTGTAAGTGAGGAGAGATGATTTCAAGGGGGTGAATGGTCCAAATACTCATCTGAGGGCATCCTTAGCAAAACAGCTGTTCTTCTGACTCAGGTTTTAGAGCAGAAAACCATGGAAGTAGCTAAAACGAGGATAATTCTGAAAACAGAGACTTCTGGGGATCTTCTGTTTGGCGACCTCTGGGACACAGCCTTGGAGATCTCTGGACTTAGCTAATGTTGTGTTTCCTTTGACAGAAGCTGGCACCGTAACACAGCTATTTCTGAATATGTCTCTAAGGCAGTCGCTGTTCTGGGATAGCATCCAAGAAAGGTAAATGTTTGAAAGGCAAATCAAACAACTGGGCTCAGCTTTAGCTGGGAAGTGGAGCAATCTAGTTACCGGTACATTTTTTTAAAAAAAGCAGTAATAACAAAATGTGGTTTTTTGGGTAGCCTTAAGGGACTGTGTTATCCTGAAGGAAGATGCGAGGAACTTCACTGACTTGAAATGTTGTGTCCATATGGTTCCCTTTAAAAAAAGAGGAACTGCATATGTTTGCCGCTTGGGAAACATCAAAAGTCATCTGTTTCCCAGCAGGACCGCACTCTCCAGGTGAAACAACATCTGTCTTTCCACCTCGGCGGATCTTAATGCCGTTCCGGAATCAAACAGCATGAAATGAAGAAATGCTTTCTGGAGGAATGTGCAGCTGGCAATTTGACCAAAAGGATGCCCTTCAAATTCTCCATCCAGGGGATTAAGTTGTCTCATGCAAAAAAGAAAATCACAGAGAGAGAGAGAGAGAGAGAGAGAGAGAGAGAGAGAGAGTTGTACCTTGGAAGTCGAATGGAATCCGTTCCAGAAGTCCATTTGACTTCCAAAGCTTTCGGAAACCAAAGCGCGGCTTGTGATTGGCTGCAGGAAGCTCCTGCAGCCAATCAGAAGCCGCAGAAGCCGCGTCAGACATTCGGCTTCCAAAAATAGTTCACAAACCAGAACATTGACTTCCAGGTTTGCAGCATTCAGGAGCCAAAACGTTTGAGAACTAAGCTGTTCAAAAACAAAGGTAAGACTCGTGTGTGTGTGTGTGTGTGTGTGTGTGTGTGAGAGAGAGAGAGAGAGAGAGAGAGAGAGAAAACATGTACATATAGGATGCAGATATATAGATACAGATATGTATATAGATATAGATCACACACACACACACACACACACACACACACACACATATAAAGGTAAAGGGACCCCTGACTGTTAAGTCCAGTTGTGGACGACGCTGGAGTTGCACGCTCATCTCGCTCTATAGACCGTGTTTGTCCGCAGACAGCTTCTGGATCATGTGGCCAGCATGACTAAGCCGTTTCTGGCAAAACCAGAGCAGCTCTGTCCCAGCTCCTGCCAACTTAGCAGTTAGAAAGCACACCAGTGCAAGTAGATAAATAGGTACTGCTGCGGCAGGAAGGTAAACAGCATTTCCGTGCGCTCTGGTTTCTGTCACGGTGTTCCGTTGCGCCAGAAGCGGTTTAGTCCTGCAGGCCACATGACCCAGAAAGCTGTCTGTGGACAAACGCCGGCTCCCTAGGCCTGAAAGCAAGATGAGTGCTGAAACCCTATAGTCACCTTTGACTGGACTTAACCATCCAGGGGTCCTTTACCTTTACCTTTACCTTACAGCAAAGCACTAAGACTGAGCCGTTCCAGTCACAGAAGATACTTTTAGCAGATGCAACTTATTATAATCCATTAATGGCTCACCCTAATACAACTGAGCGGCGTCTTGAAATTTCTACCGTCAAAAGCCCAGCCAAAGACTTTCTCACTTCCTGCCAGAAAACAAAATGTGTGTTCAGCAAGCTGGAGCATAATTAAGAAGATTGTCGTGTGCTACGTTCCCTTGAATGTGGCTGATGGCAGTGAAGACGGAACAGCTGCCCAATTGCATCCCTCTGCTTGGCCAGGTTTCGTGGAATTGCTAATGCAAAAGTGTTGGGTGCCTCCTGGCTCCCGCCCTTTAAAGATATGTGTCATTAGGAAATGTGTCATTGGCAGCGATGGACTGGGCTGGTTGGATGCAGAGGAACAGTGGGAGGAACCAGCTGGGGAACCACCAAGGGAAGAAGGCTCAGAGCCCGAGTTTGGTGGTGGGACAATGAGTACTCAGAGGGAGAAGAGGAGGTGCCAGAAGCTGAAGAGGTAACAGGGCTTAGTGAGCGGGGGGAGTCTGTGGCAGAGAGAAGTTCAGAATCAGAGGTGGAAGATGAAGCAGAAGAGGAGGGAGACCAAGAGGCAGAGAAAAGTCAGGATTGGGGGAACCAGAAGAGGCATGAAAAGGGCGGAGGATAGGCTGGCTGAACGCAGGCACAGTCTCCGATTGCTTGGGGAAAGCTCTGGACAGGAGGGGACTTAGACGGCTGTGGGGAATCGGAGACTGATTCAGTCTCGGCGACTGATTCATGGGATGAGCTGCTGTGCTCATTAGGCCTGACATCCAGCCAAGTCTGTGAAGACTGTGTTTTTACTAATAAAATGTTAACTGCAACTTTGGACGGTGTGATTTATTGCCGGCTCGCTCTTTGACAAGCGGTTTACTTAAGCATGAGCAAAATGAACGGAGGATTAGTCTATTGGTAGTTACTAGTTGTGGCAGTTTTACTACCTCTGGTATCAGACGCAACATACCTCTAAATACCAGGTTTTGGAAATTGCAAGTGGGCAAAGTGCTGCCCTTCTCATGCCCTGCTTGTTAAACTCTGATTGGGGCATTTGCTTTGCCACTGAGGGAACAGAGTGGTCCCCGCCCAGGCGTCATCTCTTCCTTATGAGGGTCTCAGGCAGGTGGGACATGGATCAGGGAAACTTAAAAACCTTGCCCATTGATGCCCCAAATGCAACCGCGCCTCCACCCAGTTGTTGTTGTTGTTGAGAGAAATCTGCACATATTCTCTTTTCCCTGTGCTATCGACCCGGGCAGCACACCGTCTTAGCTCAGAATATCCTCCTTTTAAAATTTGAAATTCGATAAGGCAAAGTCGAAAGGTGAAACCAGAGCTGCTGAAACAGAAGGCAGCTCCACATTTGTCAAAATGACAAGGAACTGGTTGTGACGTTAACATATGAGAGAGTGATGGAGGTGAAATAGTTAAACAGGTTGCCCAGTCAGGACCCAGGGGGTGGAGTCAGAGGGACTATAAAACCAGCTCTGGGAGTGGCAAAGGGGGGAGTTTGTTGGGAGTTGGGTGGTTGGTTGGAGCGGGAGTGAATTGGGATAGAGTTGTGGGTAGGTTGAGTTAGTGTAATGAAATAGGCTGAGTCAGGAACAGTTAGGGGCTAGGCAGACAAGTAAATATCTGAGAGGTAGTTTAATGAGTGAGAGCAGGTAGCGAAAGTTATAGGACTGAAAGATCCCAACCTTTTGGCTAATAATAATAATAATAATAATAATAATAATAATAATTTATTTATACCCCACCCATCTGGATAGGCCTCCCCAGCCACTCTGGGCAGCTCCCAACAGGTTAAAAACAGAATAAAACATCAAACATTAAAAACTTCCCTTTTGGAAGCTTTGTTCAAGGCTCTAGACCTCATGGCTGTAGCAAAGGGGAAAGCAGAATATAAAATGGAAGAATGGTATGAAAAGGTGTGGGAGATAGCTACTGATGTTAAATTAACATGTGCCATTAAGGTAAGAGGGGGAACATGCAAGAGAAATGATTTTGAGGAGATATGGAAGGTGTTTGCAGAATCTGTACTGTTCAAACGGAAAGGGGCCAAGCCCTCGCAAGAAGTGTTGAAATTTTAGGAGGTTGGATAGTTACAATGGAATGGTCTCGGTGGTGGGGTGCACATTTTTATTCTTATTTATTTATGATTATTACTTTGACAAAATAAGATAAGATGATTAAAAATGGCCGTAGTGAAAAGAGCACAGCTGCTGAAATCATCCTTGCTGCCAATCTGACCCTAAAAATATTGTTTTTTGCGCCCTGTTTACTCTTGTGCTGTATGTACTAATCTTGGATCCTAGATCAATAGGCAAGTAGGATCCTAGAATGCAACAACTGATTGGCTTGCAGGAGAAGACCAGTCAGGCTCCAGGAAGAAGTTAATCAGCCTATTAGGCTGGTAGGATCCTAGAACGCACAACTGATTGGCTTGCAGGAGAAGACCAGTCAGGCTCCAGGAAGAAGTTAATCAGCCTATTAGGCTGGTAGGATCCTAGAATGCAACAACTGATTGGCCTGCAGGAGAAGACCAGTCAGGCTCCAGGAGGGAAGCAGAATCAGTCAGTCAGCCGGGACTCATGGTGTAAATAATGTATATAAAAGCCTGAGCTTTGGGGGGCAATTCAATCACTGTTTTACAAGCTGCAATAAAAAGCATGAAATCGCTACAAGACTGTGAGTATATTTCACTGTCCCTTCCAAACCACAGAGAGAAAATGCTTTCTTAAAAGGAGGGGCGCACCACAAGGGACTCCTCTTTAGCAGTTATTCTGAGTTAGAATATTATAGAGCGCTGCTGAAATATACTCGGAGTCGAGAGTGGATTTCATGCTCTTTATTCAGCTCATAGTGCTGAGGAGGAATGGAAGTTCCCCCAGAATGTCTGCTTTATATACATTATTTACACAATGGGCCCCACGTGATTGGCTAATTCCGGGATTCACCTGTAGGCCAATCAGGTTGCGGATTCACTTCCACCTGGAGCTGGATTGGGTGGTTCCTGTGGACCAATCAAACTTCTGCATTCTGGATCCTATTGTTCTAGGACCAATCACACTGCTGCATTCTGAATCCTATTGTTCGAGGGCCAATCAGACTGCTGCATTCTGAATCCTATTGTTCTAGGGCCAATCAAACTGCTGCATTCTGAATCCTATTGTTCTAGGGCCAATCAAACTGCTGCATTCTGGATCTTATTGTTCTAGGACCAATCAGACTGCTGCATTCTGAATCCTATTGTTCTAGGGACAATCAAACTGCTGCATTCTGGATCCTATTGTTCTAGGGCCAATCAAACTGCTGCATTCTGGATCCTATTGTTCTAGGGCCAATCAAACTGCTGCATTCTGGATCCTATTGTTCTAGGGCCAATCAAACTGCTGCATTCTGAATCCTTTTGTTCTAGGACCAATCAGACTGCTGCCTTTTGGATCCTATTCAACTCAGTACATAACAGCTGCGTTAAACCAAAGGTGTGGCCCTCATGCACCTCCATGTGCTTTTCCCATACTGGCTGGGGCTGATGGGAGTTTGAGCCTGACAATTTATAGGGACTCACTTTCCCCCACCCACTGAACCCCCAGCCCCAGGTGCAGCTCTTCTGTATTGCTACACGCCACTTCAGAGCTCTGCTTCCTTGGAGTGAAAGACATCGGAGACTGTGGTGTCTTTAGGATATATGGTTTTTATTGAATCACAGAACGGTAGCATCCTTCATGGATCATTCATGGATCACTGCCTTGCCGTGGCGAAGGGGCTTGAATAACTCAGAGAAGCTATGAGCTATGCTGTGCAGGGCCACCTCAGATGGACAAGTCATAGTGCAGAGTTTTGACCAAACATGATCCACCTGGAGCAGGAACCGGCAAGCCACTCCAGTATCCCTGCCTAGAAAACTCCATGGACAAAGACAATTTGGGAGAAAAGCAATGATTGGGAGAAAAGCAATGGCAAACCTAGACAGCATCTTAAAAAGCAGAGACATCACCTTGCCAACAAAGGTCCGTATAGTTAAAGCTATATTCTGAAGGAAGATCATGGCCACTGGTCCCATCACCTCCTGGCAAATAGAAGGGGAAGAAATGGAGGCAGTGAGAGATTTTACTTTCTTGGGCTCCATGATCACTGCAGATGGTGACAGTAGCCACGAAATTAAAAGACGCCTGCTCCTTGGGAGAAAAGCAATGACAAACCTAGACAGCATCTTAAAAAGCAAAGACATCACCTTGCCAACAAAGGTCCGTATAGTTAAAGCTATGGTTTTCCCAGTAGTGATGTATGGATGTGAGAGCTGGACCATAAAGAAGGCTGATCACTGAAGAATTGATGCTTTTGAATTATGGTGCTGGAGGAGACTCTTGAGAGTCCCATGGACTGCAAGAAGATCAAACCTATCCATTCTGAAGGAAATCAGCCCTGAGTCCTTACTGGAAGGACAGGTCCTGAAGCTGAGACTCCAAGACTTTGGCCACCTCATGAGAAGAGAAGACTCCCTGGAAAAGAC